ATGGTGACGACCATGGCAATATACTTGGCTCCACTGCCGAACAAATGAATTTTTCGTTGTTAATAGCCAAAGATACCAAGCTACCTGATGAATGAATCTTTTTTGGTGCATTTCATCTTGTGTGAAGTAGAAAAACGTGAAACTTCCCAGTCAGCCCCAGTCACTCAATGGACTTGAATGTGGAAATTCAAAATCTTCGCATAGAAAACCAGGTTATTAGTAGCTGTTGGCCACCTACAGATGTGGAAAACTGCTCCAGATTTTGAATATCCTCGAAGTAGAAATCTGCGGTTGCAGCCATATAATTCCTCACAGGCTGCTTTCAGTAAAGTTGCTGTAGATGTTGGTCAGTTGGAAGCCCCAATATCTGTTGAGATTGATACGAACTGGACCTTAGAGGAAGGCTCAATACCAGTAAGCACATCAGTGCTGCAAGATTCAGAATTACTGCTTTGCCAATCTCATGAATATCCTGCTTCAGAACCCACAGGTCAGTTTGAAGAAGAAGGTGATATCTCTGTCCAAAGAATACAGTTTACCAATCCTCCTGAAAAGAAAGGATTAGAGAGCAAACTCCAGAAGAGCAGCTCATACGAAGAACAACGGGCAGGCTTGGAGAGATGTAGCTCAAATACTATACTGAGAAACTTGGGTGTACTGATGCGTGAAATGGGTAATAAAGAAACTGAATCAGGATTGCCCTATGATTTGTTCGTGTGGAGAGACGAAAGCAGGCAGTAATATGAGGTAAGGCCACAAGATCTGCAACCAAAGATTGGTTTGAAATTACTACTAGCGAGTGGAAATTTGCATTTGAGAAGGGGGATTCATACAGCATTGCCCATGTGGTTATATTGGGCACAGATAAAGCAAATGTAACAGTTTGAAAAATCCATACAAGCTATGCCGTCAAAACGTCCTTGGCCTTGCACTTCTCATGTCAAAACGCTGAATTGGTGTTTGTATTGCTTGGTTTTTCTGCCACCTATCAACTAACACTGTCAAAGACAAATTCTCAATCGGTTTCTATGATGAAATGCAGTGCTGTACAAATCTAACGTATTATTGCTCGGCTGTAAGTTCTTCATGCTAACAATGGATTTGTAGGCTTATTATCTAATTATGTAAACTGTCTTGTTTAATTTTATATCTCCAATGTAAAATTTCTCAGTTTCGTTCAGCTAATGTACTTTTTTTGGATATTTAGGCCAATTAAGGCTAATTTACATAGACATCATATACGTAAGACTCAAATTGACCTCCAGATGAAATTTCTTAGTTGACAGTCAAAACTCTCAATCAATAGATCAAGATGAGTTACGTTCAGCTAATATACTTTAGAGAACTTTTAATGTGTCAAAAGTACGCAATTGATTGTTATGGCTTTTTCTTGTCAAAAATCGAAACTTTTTATATACTTTTTCGGAGGGTATCTTGGTTCAATTTCATTTTACTCAGACTCAATGATAACTTTTTGCAGTGTATAATGGTAAGGTTTCATCTGACTACTACAAATACTATATGGTATCTGAGTTTGGGTGCTCACTTTAGCTAGTTGCTTATACATGTTAGGGGCTCTTTTGGTATCAAGATTCTTTCGGGGAATTTTTACGTGCCGTCATAACCGTTTGAAGGCCGATCAGAATGTATATGTATCTAATAATATAGTGAAACACAGTAAATTAGTGATGTGTCGCATCCTGATTGACCTTCGGATGATGTTCAATGACTACACGTGTAATTTTGTCAAATTTACTGAGATTATCAATCAAAGCGGGAATAGTCGATCAATGATAGTTAATTGATACCATTGCCAATAAACATTATAAATAATTCAACAGTATTATCTTTCATTGTATAAAGAGTTATTAATTCAACAAATTTTCAGACCTGTCAAAATCATGCATAAATTCATTTTTAATATTTTGTGCAGTTTAATGATGTGGTGTGTTCTAATTGGTCTTCACACGGCGTCCAATGACCACACGTATAAATTTTCGCAAAAATTTGGCTCATGATCTTCAAATATCAAAAGCGGGAATAAATGATCAAATGGTAGTTAATTATTGCCAATTAACATTATAAATAATCCAACAGTATTATCTTTCATTGTATAAAAAGTTACTAATCATCAAAATTTTCTCCTGTCAAATGGAATTTTGGAGTCTAGAGTTATAAATGCAAATCATTATAGAGTAATCATTAACTTCATTTAATAAAAATTAAAGCATACACATTTGAAATTTATTAATGAATATAAATATCATTATATCATTTAATAAAGTATTTTGCTGTTCTATAAATATAATATGTGAATTTATAATATAAACATCCTATTAGATATTCTTAAAAATTATAAAATGCCAAATTTAGGATAAAAAATAACTACCAAATGACTTTTTTGCGTTTGTTGATTGCAATTTTTTTTCTAAGAGTTTGGTTGGGACAATTTTTTAATGCTATTTAAAACAGTATTTTAGTTTAAAAAAATTAATTAGAATTTTTTTATTAAAAATTATTTTAAAAAAATAATTTAAAAATGTGTCGCAAACGAAGCTTAAATCATCTAATAGTATCCATTTTTCCTTTTATTCTGTAAAAGACCACCTGGCTTGAAGATAAGCAAGGAATAAAGTGCCCCATGGATTAATTGACCATGATTTGGTGATAGTAATGGATTCTCTTTCTTCTTCTTCATTTTTTTTTTTTTTTATAATGGTTTTACGCAGAAAAATGTTTATCTTCAACTTTTTTAAGGTTGTTTGAGATGGCTATAATTTTTTTTTTAAATGTGGTTATAAAGTGATTGTGAGGAAAGTAATTTTTTAAAAGTTGATGAAAAAAGTAGATTATAACAGTAGAAAAAAAAAATAATCAAATAAAAATTAGGATTATGATTTAAAAAATACCAAATAAATCTTAAAGCTCGTGTCTTTTTTCTTCTTTTTTAAGGCAGGTTAATTTAGTCATTAGTTTAGTTGTCGACCTTATCAAAATCTAACTTAAAATAATATCACAATCAGTGAAGCTGATATCATGATAAGTTGCTTTAAGAAATCAATTCATGGGGTCTTTTTTTAATTAAGGGAAAAGAAAATTTCACTTAGGCCGAGTTTTTGAATACGTATCACTAGAATTTTTATTAGGTCCGATGTCCTGACGTAGCTCTACATTCAGACACCAGTAAAATGGTGCAACGTGCTCTTACACTTTACCGTGCGGCCCGACGACTTGACCCGGACTGGACCCGGGATTGTTATGTATTGGCTGAATTGTGCATACCGGGGTATTGCTAGGTATTGCTCGATATTGCTCGGCAATAACGAGAAATACCATTCAGTCAAGACCAATACCTAGAAATACTAAGCAAAACCTCAGTTTTGCTAGGTATTGCTCGGTATTGCTCAGTATTGTTAGGTATTGGTCTTGATAAAGCGGTATTTCTCGTTATTGTCAAGCAATAACTAGCAATGCCTAGCAATACCGAGCAATACCTAGCAATATACGAACATAGCAATATCGGGTTCCGGTCCGGGTCAGGTCGTCGGGCCGCGCGGTAAAGAGTAAGAGCACGTGTCGACATGTTATTGGCCTCTGAATGTAGAGCTACGTCTGGTGTCTGGACCTATTAATTGCTCCGTATCAGTGGCACTTTCCCAGCTATCTCATAGTTAGTGCAGCTCTTACTCTGCCTACCTTAAGGATTTTGAAATGAAGGGTATTTATACGATGCGAAGAGGGGAGTTAACAGCCTCGTTCTTGTGCAGGGGCGAAATAAATCTTTTTTTCATTATGGGTAAAGCTATTACTGTGAAATATATAGTCTTATATATAAAATAGTGATGAATTTTTTTCTCAAAATTTGGACAACTATATTTATTGAAGGTGAGCAAAATAGTTAAAATTTTATTTTGTTAAGCAAATCACAAACCTTGCCTTTCACGGTGCACTTCATCTAAAAAATAGCATTGCACTGAGATTTAACAGGTTGGCGAGTGGCTAATAGTAGTCATTCAATAATTGATACAACTGCATCAGCCTCATCGCCAATTCTTCTCTTTTTTCTTCACCCTCCTCAGTTGGTGTGGTTACATTATCAAATTCTCCTTCGACTAACTGTGTCCTGGTTGAGTCCAGTGGGTTTAGAGTACAAATTCTTCTTATGTGGTATGTGCTACTGAACATGCTATAACTTCTTGTAGGCCACCTATATACCATGCTGAAAGCTGATTGTTAAACTCATTGAGTTTCTTTTTGGCACTTAATTTGTAAAATTCTTCGGTGTATTCATTAACAGTGCAGTTTCCCTGTGTACAATGTTGATATCTCATATAGAGCATTTATTCGTAATCCGCTTGAAGGAAATAACCATGTACCAACTGCTTCATCCTATAACAACTTTAAATGGGCCCCTTCCCTTCATGGCGCCTAACTTGCAAAGCTTGCTGCCACGAAGCGCCCACCCCTCCTTTCAAAGGACAGACGACATACTTCACCTGTTTTTCGAGCACAAACTCCATGTATTCCAAAAACATTTACACTGCTCTTTCCCAATCCAAGTAATCCTCAATGTGCAATCGTCCATCAAAGAATGGAATGTCCAGTTTAACTCAAAAGTCGCTATTATGTTGGCAATGTCGGTCTTGGAGACGTCTTACTGGTGGGCGTACCATACTTTCACCTTCATGAGAATTTGAATAATCGAATCCGGACGGTTCAGACACCGGACGAAGGGCGAATCCGAACGGTTCGGACATCGGACGTAACAATTCGCCGCTCTTCTCACGTTCGGACGCTATCCTCACCATTGGGACTAATATTCTTCTTACTTTCATGCTCATGCACTGCATTATATTGGCATATAATATAAAGATATAAGGCTCGTATATGATCTTTTTTAAATAATAAATATCTAAATTTTTATATTTATTTGTATCACATTTAAAAGTTTTTAACGTTAAATCATTAAAGATTATTTGTTAATAATAAGGAGATTAGTGCGGTCGAAGAGGGGTCCACCCTGTCGAGCCGGAAAAATTACATAAGTTGTATGAGCTTCTCAGAGTCCTCACCATTGGGACTAATGGTCAAGCCTGGTCATCTCCTCCTCCTCCTCCACCTCATCATCTCCCTTTCCTCTTTGCATTCGCCATCAAATTCCACACCATCTTTTTTAAGCCCATTAGTGCTCGATGAAGACGACGGCGGCCAGTTCTGCAACGGCACAGACATCCCCTTCCCCTTCGGCATCTCAGGTTACAAGTCTTTAGCACCAGGCTTTAACATCACCTGCAATCAAGGAAACGGAAATCTTCAAACTTCACCCCCACGACTCAAACTCTTCTCCGATGAGCTTCCCATCATCGACATATCTCTCAACGATGGCTTTCTCCGCGTCAACCTTGACCCCTTAAACTGGCGCTGCGATAGTCCCTTTGCGGAAGAACCAAGCAAATATCGAGACCTCCTCAAAGACTCCCCCTTTACCTTCTCCTCGACTCAAAATGTGCTTACTGTAATAGGCTGCGACGCGATGGTTTTCCTACAGCAGCAGGAGAACAACAAGACCGTTAATAGAAGCTGCGTCTCGTTCTGCGAGAGTACAGAGAGTGTAGTGGATGGATTTTGTTCTGGTGTGGGTTGTTGCCAGGCTTCCTTACCCGAAAATCTGAAAAGCTTCGACCTTGATTTTCAAAGCATTCGAAACACGATAGGATCGAATGTGACAAACATGCTGTGTGGCAGGGCGTTCATTCTGGAACAGAAAGCTTTTGAATTTTCAGCGGAAGATATTAATGGAGTGGTAGAAGGAGGTGCGCCGAGGTCTGTCGTGCTCAATTGGTCGATTGGGAATAAGTCATGTGATGAGGCTAAGAGGAGTGGTGCCGATTCTTATATTTGTGCGGAGAGATCAGAGTGCAATGATTCGAGTACTGGAGTTGGATATCTGTGCCGTTGCTTGGAAGGATATGATGGCAATCCTTATATACCAGATGGATGCAAAGGTACATAAATTTAGCTTGATTTCTGATATTTACTGAAATTATGATGATTAATAATAAACACAATTGAATTTTTTTCAGATGTCGATGAGTGCAGCGTCAATGGGACAAGCCCGTGTACAAGGAAATGCTTGAATTTTGACGGAGGTTACCGTTGTTCCTGCCCCTTTGGAACAACCGGCGATGGCAAGAAACAAGGCAGCGGCTGCGAGAGAGTTGCGCCAATCGAGATTGCTTTGGCTGCTGGGCTCTTCCTTTTGCTTCTCCTCTTTGTTTTGGGCCTGTTAACTTACAGAAAGCTGAGGGGACGACGTGTTGAAATGCTCAAGCAGAAGAATTTCATGCGGAACGGAGGACTTCTGCTACAGCAGCACTTATCTGTCAGAGAGGTCGCCGCCAAGATCTTCACGGCCAGCGAGCTTGAAACGGCAACTGACAATTTCAGTGACAACCACATATTGGGGCATGGCGGGTACGGTACAGTTTATAAAGGAACATTGTCTGATGGTAGGGAAGTTGCGATCAAGAAATCGAAGCTGGTGGATGAGACTCAGATCGAGCAGTTTATTAATGAAATGGTCATTCTTTCTCAGATCAATCACAGGAACGTGGTTAAGTTGCTGGGCTGCTGCTTGGAAACACAGGTGCCTCTTCTCGTCTATGAATTCATCTCCAATGGAACCCTCTTCGACCACATGCATTCGGACAGCGAATTAAAAACGTCGCCTTTATCGTGGGAAACTCGCCTGCGAATTGCAGGGGAGACGGCGGCGGCTCTTGCTTATCTGCACAAAGCGGCTTCAACGCCCATCATTCACAGGGATGTGAAGTCGGCCAACATACTTTTGGATGAGGAGTTTACTGCAAAAGTTTCGGATTTTGGAGCTTCAAGGCTTGTTCCTTATAATCAGACTCATGTTACGACGGTGGTGCAGGGAACTCTGGGCTACTTAGACCCGGAGTACTTTCACACCGGCTTGCTCTCGGAGAAGAGCGATGTGTACAGCTTCGGTGTTGTTCTGGTTGAGCTCTTGACTGCAGAGAAGCCGGTTTCATTTTCTAAGTCGGAGGAGCAAAGGAACCTGGCGTCATATTTTGTTGGGTTGGAGAAAGAGAACAGAATATTAGAAATAGTGGATCGGCGGGTGGCTAAGGATGCAGAGCCGCTGAGCTTGTCTGCGGCGGCGGAGCTTGCGAGGAGGTGTTTGAATGTTAGAGGAGAGGATAGGCCGATGATGAAGGAAGTGGCGGTGGAGCTCAATGCGCTGAGAAGCCTTCTCATGCTTAGAAGGCCGCCGGAAAGGAGTGCTGCAGAAGAGCAGAGTAGATGTCTGCTTAGGCCTCTGAATATTTGCAGGAATGATGGGGAAATTAGCATGGAAAGCTCAATATCTGATGCTGTTTACTGAACGGAAAGCTCAATAGGGGATCACTAAGAAAGTTTTTTTAGGCATAAGAAATCATTTTTAGTCTATTTAGGATGAGATTTTAAGTTTCAATCTTGAGTGATTACCTCCATTAAGCGCCCAACATTGGGCAAATTATTGTGTCTGGTGTCCGGATTCGTCCTGACACCAATAAAAACGCGTCACGTCACTCAAAAATACCTGGGCCCAGTGCATCCGGGTGAGATGTCGTGCCCGAATTAGATGTCCGCATTTCAGGTGACAGGACGCAATCATTTGCCCCAACATTGAGACTCAACAAATACATAGTAAAATGATGTATTTTTCTAGTTATTTCCATGTTTTCTAGTGTGTACTGTCTTTTTTGGCATGTTGTTATAAATAATGGGTCCCTAATCATGTAAATTTTTAACCTCATATATATACTCTCCTTGCAATTTTCTTAGATGGAGTGAAAACTTGTAATTCTTAATTAAGCAAAAAGGGTTCTTTGTTCTCTTCCTTCTTTTATATCTATTCTCTTTAGGTTAAAGCTAACTTGCTGTAATGCTCCATGGATAAGATTAGATCCAACAATTTCAATGATATAGTATGGATAATGTCAAAGGCCAGGAGTCATGCCAATGATCGACTTATGAAGCATTTTGTATTGTGCAACTATAGTAATTATAAATTCATCACATATATACATATCTAGAATATGAAGGATTGTTCTGCTAGAATGATAAAGGAAACAGTAAAACATTTCTTCTGCAAGACAACACCCTGTGATGACCATGTGATGCACTAGGCTTTTGGGTAAAATTATGGTGTAGGAAAGATGATATATACTCTATTGATTGACATCTCATTAAAGATCATGAGCAATCAATCAGAATGGAGTGCCAAGAGAAAACTATAAGCATGGCTGACTTAGGACTATAAGATCTAAGTTTATAGGTGACCAAGTTCTTTCCTAGGCATGGTTGAGGAAACCCTCCCTCAAGCATCATTGAGATACAAGCTAATAATAGGAATCATCTTGAAACCTTTTTAGAATCTAAATATCATGATAAACAAAAGAGCGATGTAGCATTAAAGTGATGGCTACATCATAGTAATTATTGAGTTATAGATCTCACACGTTAATTAAGGATCTCTCGATATAAATCCCATATAAGAAAGAAAGAGATACAGGATGAAAGTATGCATAAGCTTTAAAAACTTCTCTTCAAGGATTTTATCTCCCCCTAATATTGCCCAATAATAATAAAGATATGTTAAAATATATGGAATCATTTACAAGTCATGCCATCTACCAATTGTCACCTACTAATTATCAAATATCTAGTGTAACATAATTGAGAATGAGTAATGAAGAAGTAAATGATAAAATAAAAGAAAAAAAATGATTATTTCAAGAAGATATCATATATTATATCCTAATTGACTTTAACTTATATAATAATTAAAATCATATAAAAAAGTAAGAAAAAAATTACATAAAAAATTAAATCAAACTTTTTTCATGCAAATATCACATATATATCAATAATAATAATAATAATAACAATTATAAGCCACAGCAAGAGTGAGCAACAACTCAACAAATAATGAACAACTAAGCATTTTTCCTTTTTAAGTGGTTTAACATTATATCTGAACTTGTTAAATAATGTAATTTATGTTCTTTTTAAGCAAATGACAACATTAATTGTTGAAATGAAGCCTTGTGAGGAATGTTGCCTTTGTAGATCAACTCATGAAATGCGTAGTCAATATTAGTTGAGAACCAAATACATTATGATTTTCGTGCTACAATCTTTGTCGCTAGTAACCTAATAAGCTCTCAAATAATATTAAAGCTATTCAATCTCTCCATAGACTCCATTCCATATGAACAACTATTTGATACTAAAAGACTAGATGTGCATCCATTCAACTAATCTTGAAAGCTTAGTAGCAAACTAGCCACTCCACCTTATCTTTAGTAACATGAAAAATCTCTTTGTGATAATTCAATTTGGAATTAACTACTTCTGATACAATGGATGAATCATTATAAGAGGTCTCCAATAAAGAGAACATGCTAACAAGTATATTCATATGATTTTGCTAGAATTGAGATCTCCAAGTCATAAGTCACTTTGACATCCTATACCCTCAATAAAAGCAACTTGATGTTAGCCTAAGTGAGCTTGATAGCTTTGGCCTTTCCTTCTCCCAAAGTATCCCATAAGTTAATTTTCTCAAAGGAGCTAACATTGTTGTACAACAAAATTTCAAACTCCTTTTTTTAGTAGGAGGTTCAAAAATGCTTATTCCATCTTAAATTCCAACCTCGATGACATGCTCTTATTGGCCCCAAATTATTGTAAATAATTTGGTACAAAATACAACTTTCTCAATTTTATTACCCAAGCCTCTCCATTGTAGCTTCAATTAAAATTATCCCCCTATTATACTGATCACTTGGGGGAAGTCACTATTGGCGAATAAGCACATCATATTTCAAAGAATTTAGAATATTTATGACTAAATCTATGACAACGATCATTGTCTTTGGCTATCCAAATTTTTGAGCTAAAAAATATCCTAACATATTGGATATTACATGCGTCATGAACCCACTTATTACCTCAGTATGTGGTCATGTGCAAGTCAATATAGTAGTAGGTACCACCATTGAAGATATAATCAAGACCTTATTTTTCTCTAATTGGGGAATGATAACGGGTCTTGTCTTTTACTTTTTTATTTATAACTAAAGCAATATATCTCTCTCAATAGCTTCTTACTCTACATTTTTCGATGTTATTCTAGCCTCAATAATAAACCTTGAAAAGATGAGGATTTCTCTTATGAGCATTCTCTCGACACTTCCAATTTAGTCGGTTTATGATGAAAATACAAGCCAATATGACGAAATCATCCATATATAATAATGGCAAAAATTCGGGAGTCCCAAAATTTAAGCAATTGAATAAAATTACAACCAAACTTTCTAATTTAAAGGCAATTTAACTTAGAGAGAGAGTCTTTTATCAACTTCACACTTTTTTCTCACTTGAAGATTTATGATCAATTTCATAATCATTGATCACTCAACTACTATTTTTTAACTTTGTCTATTAAATATAAATATATTTCATATTGTTGACCATATAATGTCGGCCTTATTCTTACTCATAAATAGGATGGGTCAACCCTGGCACATAATTTGGCTTGATGATCTATACAATAAAAATTTACAATTTTAGCTAATCTAACCACTAAATCAATCTCACAAACTCTCTCTCTCTCTCTCTCTCTCTCTCTCTCTCTCTCTTTTTCTCTTACAATTAATGTACTCTGATTTGGTTGACTCAAATCATTCCTTACAATAACAGATTTTCTAAGAGATCTAAGGTTCTTAGCCTACTTAGGTCATCTCCAACCGAACGCTAAACGAGTGTATGGAGTCGTTCCATCGCTCCAACTGAACGCGAAAATTTCCGCCATTTAATTGCAGGTGAACAGTGCGACGCCAATATTGGCGTCTCACTGTTCACTCACGCCATTTTCTGCTCTCAATCGAAAAAACGCTCGTTACCTTCCTAGAAACAACTAAAATGGCGTTCGATTGGAGCATCACCACGCCAATTTTAGAGTTCTGCGTTACTTGCCCTGAAAAATGAAATTATCGGTTGGAGATGCCCTTAGTCCAATCTCGCAGTCCTAAGTTTCGGCCGTTCCTCCAATGGAAGTCGACCAAATTCCATTGGAGAACACAAATCCAAATGAAAACCAAATTCAAATTTTGAATGATTGCAGATGTAGCAATCAAATTTTCAATCCTGGATGAGGAATTCCTACGGGCCCATGATTGCGAGTGACACCGCAATTCTCGCTGAGGGAGAAAATAACGAACAGGACCAGGCGCCATTGTTGACCTCTAGTCCTTCGCTGGACGTCTACGCGAAGATGGATTTCTTTACATTGTTGGACTCCCGCCGACTACGGTCCTCCTGACTTATGTCGCCCGCCGACTACAGTTTTTCCGACCTTCGTCGCCCGCCGACTACGGTCCTCCTGACTTATGTCGCCCGCCGGATACAAGTCTTCCGACCTCCGTCGCCCTCCGACTACGGTCCTTCCGACCAAACGAACATGTCAATAATGACTCTTTGTATTAACATCTTGTAATGTACTCCATAGGATGTACATCAAGCTAAGACCTTCCACCAAGGAAGGGCCTCATTTGTAATCGACTGCAATACTAGTGGATTCATTCAAACTGGGCTAGGCCCCGTGGTTTTTTCCCCTTTTCAGAGGTTTTCCACTTAAAAATCTTGGTGTCTCATAAATGCTAGACCCTTTCTCTTATCTGATTGCGTGCCGGATTTTCGTACAACGCTAAGACGATAAACTGTATATTTCTCTACCGCCGCGAATACTCCTGGACGCAACAACTCTGAATTGGTTGACTCAAATCATTCCTTAGAATAGCAATTAACATATCTTCTAAGAGATCTAAGGTTCTTAGCCTACTTAGTCCAATCTCGCAGTCCTAAGTTTGGCCGTTCGGGAGTCAACCAAATTCCATTGGATAACACAAATCCAAATGAAAACCAAATTCAAATTTTGAATGATTGCAGATGTAGCAATCAAATTTTCAATCCTGGATGAGGAATTCCTACGGGCCCATGATTGCGAATGACACCGCAATTCTCGCTGAGGGAGAAAATAACGAACAGGACCAGGCGCCATTGTTGACCTCTAGTCGCGCTCCGACCGAAGACCCAATGGAAAAAAAAAAAGGAATGATTTTCCTAAGGGAAAAAAGATAAAATAGAGATCCTTTGGGACGCAATGCGTATTAAAAATTCGGTTGGGCTAAAGCGGTGGGGACATGACTGTGGATCGGCTTTTTCCGGGTTGCGCAAATGGACAGCGGAAACCGACGGGGACGAGGACAGGATAATGGTCTCCCAGTTGAAGAAGCCCTACTCCTCTTTATATCAACGAGAACTTCTTCCGCGCCTCCTTACTGTTCATTTGGATCTTCTCCCGGTCACTTTCAAGGTCGGGAATTCGTGTTATCCATCGGGACGCCTTTGATTTTCCGCCACGGTTTCGACTTCTTGTCGATCTTAAGGTAAGATGCTGTGGTTTTCCTTCTGATTTATATGGATCTTTGTATCTGCCGTCGTTTGAGCGATCGAGAAGCGCTTGTGGGTCTCAAAGATGCAACATTGCTTTTCTTTGATGTGATTCTTCATGAATGCTTTGGTTATTAATGACGGAAAGCCTTTAATGTCATCATATTTCTCAAATTGATAGCCCATAATTAGACGCTTTAATTATTTTGCAATTCGTTGACTTTCCGCTTCATGAACTATTTAAGCTAAAAGAAGATTTTGTGTTCTTTATACTTGTATAGATCGGGTGATTAGTAGGCAAAGAAATCCTTTGATGTAGGGAAGAGTGATATTTTTGCTTTGTTGCATGGATCAGGCCAGAAGTTCTTAGGAAGAGTTGTTTGAAATAATTTTGCAGGAATTGCTGATCTAGGTCAAGACAACTTGGCGTAAAGCAGTACCTTGTTTTGATGTTTCCTGTGAGCCGGATTTGTATGGAGGATCCTAAAGCAGAAGACTCTGATGAGGAAGAACCTGGCACTTTAAATGAGTTTGGGAATGTTCATCTTGACAAGTCATTTTCAGCTCCTGGTGTAAAGAGAGGCTTATCCTCTACCAGTAGTGTTCACGAATTACTTGAATGCCCAATATGCACAAACTCGATGTATCCTCCCATATACCAGGTTTTCTCCATATCCCTCTCTCTGGAAACTCTTTAACGACAGTCTTTCTATATGATTTCAATTTGGATTTTGTCTGAAAGGGCTTTGTTTTGTTAACATACATACTTATTAAATTATTTACTGCTTCAGTGACTTTGTTTTATGATAACTTTATCAAAGCAAGCTAATGTTATTCTGCCATATCATGAAATGAAATTTATTTTTAGGGGGATTTACATACATACCACTTTCTTTTATGTTATTTACATATCTAATACTCAAAATTTTAATATTACATTCCTATCACTCATATAAAAGTTTAATATCAAATATACCACTCCTATATTTCATTCCTACCATCCATAACACCTTATAAACTTTAATATTTCATTCCATGCACCCATATTTGTTTTATGGGTGGTAGGCATGTAATATTATAATTTTAGCCTTTTAGGTGTTAGATATGTAAATAGCATGAAATAAAGTGGTATGTATGTAGTTGGAGATTGGTTAATGAACTGTCAACGGTGTATTAATGGAAGTAGATGTTAAATTGTTTTGTTCTCTATAAACTAGAGGGCCCCGGGTCCCCAAGTAGAAATTGGTATTACTCGTGGCTTTGTTAATAATGCAATTTTTGTAACTTAGGCTTCGTTTAGGACGGCTTTCTTTCTGCTTCTTAAAACAGCTTTTAGTACAAAAGTTAAGAAGCAGAAAGAATGTCATCCCAAATGAAGCGTTAGATGTAACAGGCTTTGTTTGGATTGGCGAAAAGTGAGTGAAATGAAGTACCCATGATTTATGCTTTGATTATGAATTTGAATTTTGAAGCCTTTGATTTAAGCTTCCCAACCTTTTTATTTTCTTTCCCCTGCGCTCAAATTTCTATGATATAAGCAAAGGGTAGATAATGGCACATCTAAGGTCTTTGTATCTCAATGAAATACAGATTACAAATTTATATAATTGTTATTTTCTGGCACGGTTAGCAGTATAATTTAGTAAAATTGAATCTTTTTTGTTAATTCTTCGGAAATTTAATAATGAAGGATAACGTGACTTTTTTTGGCTGATTTGTTTGTTTGCAAGGTAATTAGAAGCTAACTAATCTAAGTATGGCAACGGATAAGCCTGAGATAAGACATTCATTCATCACTGACCTATACTACTTTTAAAATAGCATTTGATAGTCTACTAAAATAAAACCTATTTAGAAAAAAATATGGCCATTCATCTGTTTTCAATATAGATTACTATTAAGGGTGTTTGATATTCCACAGTTAAAAATAACTTAGGTAAAATCATGGCCACTCACCCTTTAATTTTATATATATAGAGAGAGAGAGAGAGAGAGAGAGAATAAATGGTTTTTTGACTCTTTATGAAGGACCAAAATGAACCTCAACTCAATTAAAGGACGATTTTGATTCATCAAGTCTTTAAAAAAGAATGAAAATAGTCCCATGGTGGGACTATTTTGGTTCATCTATTATATAAAGAGTCAATGGACCATTTTGATCATTCTCTCTCTATATATATTAATTATTATTATTATTATTCCAGGAAAAAATTGGAATGAAAAGATAAAAATTAAAAGAACCTATTTGCAATTTCACATCCAGGTGAAAAAAAATAAAATAAGGTAGAGTAGTTTAGATCATGCATGCCATTTTAAAATGTAAAATAAAATTAAGTGTTAAGATTTTACTTTATTGGACAGTTAGGCATTTTTATTAATAGTAGTATATAGGGAAAAAAATGAAAGAGTGGTCATGTAATGCTGTGCTTGAGCCCACATCAAGAGTTAAGGCTAGACCAAAGTCTAGATTTAACCAAGTTGGCTTATGATTTTTTTTCTTTTGCCGTTTTATGCAATTTAGGTTGAAATTATCCATTTGGATTATCTTTTGTTTAAATTTAAATTATTTGTTAGAATTAGATTTAATTTTCGATGGGGTTATATTGGGAATCGGGCTGACCTCCAACATTAGGTGAGATTCCACTTGATGATGAGAATTAATCTATCATATTCAAATTTCATATGATTATTTAGGGATAAAAATAACCTATAGCATGTCGCCTTAACTTAAAATCAAATCAACCATCTAGATCAAATATAAGGTCACTTTTTGCAAAATTAATCAATTTTATCTTTTAAATTTCCTATAGTTTTAAAATCTATCAAATATTTAATTCTAGTTCAGAAATTGATTTCAAATTTATTAGAACTATTTTAAAAATATCTACTTTTGAAAATTCAATAAATTAAGGTGACAAGCCTTGGACTTTATTAGATTTTATTTTAATGTATGTGATATTGTCCTTATAATACTATTTCTATAAATTGGAGTTTGTGGCAATGGATGTCATTAATGCTTAAATGAATTGAAATTATAATATTTCTCCTCTCTTTCTCTCCTTTTGGTTACCTTGGTTGTTTTGGTTGGCTTCATTTTAGTGGAATATCAAGCACTTTTTCATAGTAGTCTATAAAAAATAAATGAATGAATGGGGATTATTTTTCTAGGCAGATTTTATTCTAGTAGAATATCAAGTGCCATTTGAATAGCAGTAAAGATAAAACATGAATGAAGGCCCTTGATTAACTTTGAGTGGAGTATCAATAGCCGTTTTAAAAGGTAGTATAGAAGTTCATTTAGATATGTAAAAGATTTTTTTTCCCTATGCTGAAAATTTTCATATACGTATGAGAATGGCGACTCTCTCTTAGAGATAGAATGTGAAACAAGATATACGTGTAAAGGTCGGAGTAGCTCCAAAGAGTCACCTTAGATGGTTTGGTCACATAAAACGTCAGCCTTCTGATGGAGTAGCTCCAAAGAGTCGTCTTAGATGGTTTGTTCACATAAAATGTTGGTCTTTTGATGACCCGATTAGAAGAGTAAATATATTAGAGATTTGACCTATGTTAAGAGAGGTTGAGGTAGACATAGAAAGACTTGATTAGAAAATATTAGAAATGACCTTATTTTATTAGATTTAAATGAGAATTTGACTCTTAATAGGACACAAAGGAGAAAAAAAGATTCATGTAGCCGACCCCACAATGGATAAAGGTTTGATGTTGTTATTTTTGTTGAAAATTTTCATATAATAATTTTTTTGAGATTAAATGATCTCACAGGGTTTTTAATCATACATTATGAATAATAAACATTTAATTTTCATTATAAATAACCATATTTCAAGATAGAATGACATTCATTTTTTTTGTTTCAAAATATTATTAAAAAATGTTTTTTTTAAATAATCGCATTAAATCCAAATTTAAAAGTAGAATGCCTTTAATTAGTAGAAGGAAAATGAGGAAAATGCACTTATGACATGCATTTTTACTGGTTTCATGAAATATATGATCTTTATGAATGCTATGTGTTGTTGTTATTAGTAAATCAATTTGATTTCATGATTCCATTTTCCATATTAGAGGGAGTTGAAAGCAAACATTAATTATGGAAGTGAACCTTAGAGTTTAAAGGTTTTTCGTTTCAGCAGATCTACTCGAATACATGGAGTATAATTTTAGTAATAATGGATTTAGTGTGAGGATTGTGACTTTGGGCGATCAAGTCATTAATAAGAGTGCGTGTTTTAGATATCTCAAGTTTATTGTTCAAAGTGATGGTGAAATAGATGGGGATATTATTTGTAGAATTCAAGTTGGATGGTTGAAGTGGAGGAATGCATCAGGCCTGTTGTGTGATAGAAAATAACTCCTCAAACATTAGAGAAAATTTTATAAGATGGTGGTAAGACCTGTAATGCTTTATGACGCAGAATGTTAGCCATTAAAAGAGAAACATAAAATTAAGTTAAGTGTTATAGAGATGAGGATGCTCAGGTGGATGAGTGGCTTCATTCTTAGAGATAGAATGTGAAATTAGTATATAGGTGAAAAAGTTGGAATAGCTTTAGTGGCAGATAAGATTACAGAGAGTCACTTTAGAGGTTAGATCACATAAAATGTCGGCCTTCTGATAACCCGGTTAGGAAAGTAGATGTATTAGATTTGGCCGATGTTAAGAAAGGTAGAAGTAGACCTAAAAAGACATGGTTAGAAAAATTAGAAATGATCTTTTTTATTAGATTTAAATGGGAATTTGACTAGGACACAATAGAGAAAAAGGATTCGTGTAGTTAACCTCATGTAGTCAAATGAAGACTTAATGTTATTGTTGTTGTATTCCATTTCCCATATTCTCGAGTTGTTTGGACTTTTGTTCCATGGCTAAGCTTTTGTTGGATCTTAATGTATATCGGTGTTTGCATTCTTATATGATAAATCAAAATCCATATGGATCAAAGTTTAGACGATAGAGTTGTGAATTGTTGAAAACGTAAACTAATTGATGACAAGTTTTTTTTACATTACTTTCTGCTGTTATTTATTGAGGCAAGAACATATATATGAGAAAATTCTATTGGCAATCTTAATTGCAATATGATCGACCGGAGAATAATAGCAAAAACTAGCGTTTATGTTTTTTCATATTTCTTTTTTATTGACTGAGAAATGGTTGTTTTGATTGGATGATGATTCTTCTTTCTCTTTTTTTTTTTTTTTGCCTAAATTAATGAAAGGTGGAGATTATTTTTACCCATTTCAAAAATGCATTAGTCAGGAAAATTCCTCCGATCCAACTATCTCGGTGGAGGATTTAAACCAAATACATAGTATGAAATGTGATAACATATGATAGAGTTGTGAATTTTTGAAAGCATAAATTAAATCTCATGAGAGGAAGTAATGGTTGCGTTAGGTTCTTCAGCTATTTATTGACATAAAAAATATATGAGAAATTCTGATGGACATCTTTTCACCAATGTGAACGACTGAAGAACAAAAACATTAACTATCTTTCATCTTTTATTGTCATTATGTTACTATTTTGTTACCCCAAGATATTTTGTTTTATGAAAATTCTCAATGTTTAACCAACGAGACTTAGCTTATGTGCTATTACCTCCACCACATAAAGTGTGAAGCGAGGGGTATCACTCCCATCTTTGGTGGATCACCAAGCAACAAAAATCTCTCATGGTTTGCAGTCCTGGAGAGAAATTTATAAGGTAACTTTTTGCAAAATTTATCAATTTTATCTTTTAAATTTCCTATAGTTTTAAAATTTATCAAATATTTAATTCTAGTTCAGAAATTGATTTCAAATTTATTAGAACTATTTTAAAAATATCTACTTTTGAAAATTCAATAAATTAAGGTGACAAGCCTTGGAATTTATCAGATTTTATTTTAATGTATGTGATCTTGTCCTTATAATACTATTTTATAAATTGGAGTTTGTGGCCTGTAATGGATGATCATTAATGCTTGAATGAATTGAAATTATAATATTTCTCTTCTCTCTCTCTCTCTCTCTCTCTCTCTCTTTCCTTTTGGATTACGTTGATCTTTTTGGTTGGCTTTATTTTAGTGGAATATCAAGCACTTTTCTCATAGTAGTCTATAAAAAATAAATGAATGAATGGCGATGATTTTTCTAGGCAGATTTTTATCTAATAGAATATCAAGTGCCATTTGAATAGAAGTAAAGATAAAACATGAATGAACGCCCTTGATTAACTTTGAGTGGAGTATCAATAGTCTTTTTAAAAGGTAGTATAGAAGTTCATTTAAATATGTAAAGGATTTTTTTTCCTATGTTGAAAATTTTCATATACATATGAATGGAGACTTTCTCTTAGAGATAGAATGTGAAACAAGATATACGTGTAAAGGATGGAGTAGCTCCAAAGAGTTGCCTTAGACGGTTTGGTCGCATAAAACGTCGGCCTTCTGATGGCCCGTTTAGGAGGGTAGATGTATTAGAGATTTGGCCTATATTAAAAGAGGTAGAGGTAGACCTAAAAAGACTTGGTTATAAAATATTAGAAATGACCTTTTATTTATTAGATTTAAATGAGAATTTGACTCTTAACAGGACACAATGGAGAAAAAAAATTCATGTAGCAGAGCCCATATAGTGGATAAAGGCTTGATATTGTTATTTTTGTTGAAATTTTTCATATAATAATTTTTTTGAGATTAAGTGATCTCAAAGGGCATGATCAAAGTGTTTTTAATCATATATTATGAATAATAAACATTTAATTTTAGTTATAAATAACCATATTTCAATATAGAATGACATTTATTTTTTTATTTCAAAATATTATTCGCATTACATCCAAATTTAAAAGTAGAATCCCTTAATTAGTAGAAGGAAAATGAGGAACTTGTACTTATGATGTGCATTTTTACTGTTTCATGGAATATATGATCGTTATGAATGATATGTGTTATTGTTATTAGTGAATCAATTTGATTTTTATACTTCCATTTTCCATATTAGAGGGATTTGAAAGTAAACATTAATTATGGAAGTCAACCTTAGAGTCTAAAGGTTTTCATTTCAGTAGATCTACCTGAATAAATGGAGTATAATTTTAGTAATAATAGATCTAGTGGGGGGATTGTGACTTTGCTAACAAAATGTGAAATTAGTATATAGGCTAAGCTTATAATAACCCGGTTGGGAAAGTAATGTATTAGATTTGGCCAATGTTAAGAAAGGTAGAAGTAGACCTAAAAAAGACATGGTTAGAAAAATTAGAAATGATCTTTTTTATTAGATTTAAATGGGAATTTGACTCTTAATAGGACAATAGAGAAAAAGGATTCGTGTAGCTAACCTCACATAGTCGAATGAAGACTTGATGTTATTATTGTTGTATTCCATTTTCCATATTCTCGAGTTGTTTGGACTTTTGTTCCATGGCTAAGCTTTTGTTGGATCTTAATGTATATGGGTGTTTGCATTCTTATATGATAAATCAAAATTTATATGGATCAAAGTTTAGACGATAGAGTTGTGAGTTGTTGAAAACGTAAACTAATTGATGACAAGTTTTTTTTACATTACTTTCTGCTGTTATTTATTGAGGCAAGAACATAAGACAAAATTATATTGACAATCTTAATTGAAATATGATCGACCAGAGAATAATAGCAAAAACTATCATTTATATCTTTCATATTTCTTTTTTATTGACTGAGAAATGGTTGTTATGATTGGATGATGATTCTTCTTCTTTTTTCCTCTTTTTTTATTTTTGCCTAAATTAATGAAAGGTGAAGATTATTTTTACCCATTTCAAAAATGCATTAGTCAGGAAAATTCCTCCCATCCAACTATCGCGGTAGATGATTTAAACCAAATACATTGCATGAAATGTGAAAGCATATGATAGAGTTGTGAATTTTTGAAAGCATAAATTAAATCTCATGAGAGGAAGTAATGGTTGCGTTAGGTTCTTCAGTTATTTATTGACATAAAAACTATATGAGAAATTCTGATGGACATCTTTTCACCAATGTGAACGACTGATGAACAAAAACAATAACTATCTTTCATATTTTATTGTCATTATGTTACTATTTTGTTACCCCCACATATTTTGTTTTATGAAAATTCTCAATGTTTAACCAATGAGAATTAGCTTATGTCCTATTGCCTCCACCACATAAAGTGTTAAGCCAGGGGTATCACTCCCATCTTTGGTGGATCACGAAGCAACAAAAATCTCATGGTTTGCAGTCCTGGAGAGAAATTGTTGATTGGTTCAAATTGCTATTTTTCTCTTCTCTTGTATTAATGAAAGATGAGTTCTTTTTTCTACTTCAAAATGCTTCCTATCCTTCTATTTCGCTGTAACATTTATGCATCTTAGCTCTCTGTTGATCTTGCATAGTTTTTCTCAAGCTTTTTAAGTGCTTCCTTTTACATGGCAAATATGATTAGAGATATAATTGCCAAATCATATTTTCTTCCTGCAGTGTCCAAATGGTCACACTCTTTGTTCAAATTGCAAGCTTAGAGTACATAATCAATGCCCCACTTGTCGCCATGAACTTGGTAATATAAGATGTCTGGCCCTTGAAAAGGTTGCTGGGTCACTTGAGCTTCCTTGTAAACACCAGGCAATGGGATGCTTAGGAATATTTCTGTATTATGAAAAATTAAAACATGAACAGTCATGCAAATTCAGGCCTTATAACTGTCCATATGCAGGGTCCGAGTGCCCCATTACAGGGGACACCCAAATGATCATAACCCACCTGAGAAATGATCATAAAGTGGATATGCATGATGGCTGCACTTTTAACCATCGTTATGTCAAAGCCAACCCACATGAGGTCGAAAATGCGACTTGGATGCTCACAGTAAGATTATTTGTCATATATATATATATATATATTTTAACTTGCATTATTACTTCTTGATTTATGCATCATTACTCTAGCTAGATTTTGAAGTATCACTATGATTTCAATGTCACATTATGCTACCATTGCTTTGAATAAAGTAACATTCATAAAGGTAGATTGTTTAAGTTAATTTCACCTTAAGGGGCTGTTTGGTAGCAGGATTTAGGCTGAATTTGAGGCGGATTTGAGCGAAATCCAGCCAAACGGCCTAAAATGCAAAATCAAATCTCACAGCAAACGAAATCCTCCGTAGACGGAAAATTCATCCGATTTGCTCTAAATCCCGGATTTCGGAAATCTTGTATTTTGCCGGATTTACGAAATCCATGGTGCTAGAGGAAGAATCCGCTCAGTAAATCCTGCTCTATAGCCAAACAGTCACATGAGATTTGAGAGGATTTATCATGAATGTTACCAAACAGTTTTCAGGATTTAAGCCTCTCAGAATTTTCGAAATTCGGATTTAGAGGATTTACGAAATCCTACTTAAATCAAATCCAGGATGCTACCAAACAGCCCCTAAGTGCAGGAGTTTTACTTCCAATAAAGTTAATGCCGTGTCAGCTTAGAGCAGTGGCTAGTTCTATTCATTGTGAACCAACGGTCGGGTTGTTTTGTTGGACATATTTAAAATTTGTATATTTCCAAAATGAAGGAACTTTAATCTTTAGGAATTTTTGAATAGTTGAAACTAATTTTTTTATATATTAGGATGCATTTTAAATGCAAAGTATGAAGAACTTTTCTTTGTCTTCATCCTCTTCAAGAGCAATAGCACCAACAACAATGTTGGATACATGGATTAGGGTGTCTTTGCAAACCTTAATGGGGTGCTCCTTGATCCTTCTGGCTCCATTGTTGGCGTTGCCAAGTCGTAGCGCCGCCCCCACATCTCACGCCTCCAATACATAAGTGGCTCGTCGTGGGTTGCCTTGTTGCATGCACTTGAGATGTTCGATGTTGAGCATTTCTTCTATCCACACCGACTTTGTGCAGATCTTTTTGTGGTGATGTTCCTTCCATCAAGGGATGGTACATGGAGGCATAACTTAGATCATGACGAAAGCGATCTAGGATGCAATGGTTCTATCATTCACAATGTTAGATCTTGATGAACGGGGCAAGCGGGAGTATTGCGTTTTGAGTTCAATCGATTTGGGAGAAATTAAATTGCACATGATATGAGATTTTTTTAGGTATTCTACATTCCCTAAAAAAATACTTTATATTTATTTTAGGCTTCGTTTGGGGCGGCTTTCTTACTGCTTCTTAAAGCAACTTTTTATTACAAAAATTTAAATTTTTGTACTTGAAAGATGTTTTAAGAAGCATTAAAAAAACGGTTCCAAACAAAGCCTTACTCTATACAAACACTTGAGGAATCAAAACCCATTTTGTTTATTGTACAACAACATCAAGCATTTGTCCTACTATGCGGGAACCCTTTTTCACTATTGTGTTCTATTAAAAGTCAAATTCTCGTTTAAATCTAATAAAGAAATATCATTTCCAATATTTTATAACCAAGTCTTTTAAGGTCTATCTCTACTTTTCTTAATATAAGTTAAATCTGATACCTCTACTTTCCTAACCTGGTCATCGGAATGCCGTCATTTTATGTGACCAAACCATCTAAGGCGACTCTCTCTAATCTTATCTTCTACTGGAGCTACTCCAACCTTTTCACGTATATGCTCATTTTGTATTCTGTCTCTAAGGAAAAAGCAACTCATCCACCTGAGCATCCTTATCTCAGCAACACTTAACTTAGTATTATGCTTATCTTTTAATGGCCAACATTTTGCATCATAGAGCATTGCAAGTCTCACCACCATCTTATACAATTTTGCCTTAAGTTGAGGGGAACTTTTCTATCACACAACAAGCCCGAGGCATTCCTTCACTTCAACCATTCAACTTGAATTCTACTGATTGTGTAATGTTAGGAAATATTTGTGTAATGTTAGGGTAAGATTGTGTAAATCAACTCCTTTCTAAAACTTATAGTAACAGTAGCATCATTCATTCGATATTTCAATTGAAATTAGAAAAAAAAAAAAAACTGACGACCAGATAGTTGAAATGAGATGGAGGTGGCTGCCGCAATAGTTCCACTAATGTAAAAGAACAATTTTCTTTGCACAACGACCACTTCGTATACGAATCCTATTGGAACCTTTTATCCCATCTTCATTTAGGGTTTTCTTTCATGCACTCCAGTCTAACATTACACGCCTTCCTTTGCATTTATGGCAGGTCTTCAACTGCTTCGGCCAACACTTCTGTCTTCACTTTGAGGCATTCGTATTAGAAATGGCTCCGGTTTACATGGCGTTCTTGAGATTCATGGGTGAAGATGATGAGACAAAGAAGTTCTGTTACAGCTTAGAAGTGGGTGGAAATGGACGCAAACTGCTGTGGCAAGGGGTGCCAAGGAGCATCAGGGATGGTCACAAGAAGGTCAGAAACAACCACGATGGTCTGATCATCCATCGAAGCATGGCCTTGTCCTTCTCCGGCGGAAACCACCAGGAGCTCAAGCTTCGAATAACCGGCCGTATCTGGAAAGAAGAGTGAAGCATTTTTCACCTAAATTCATGGCCAGAAAGTTTAGGCTCACAAAGCTTGATGTAATCAGTATGTGGACAGTCTGCTCAAAGATTTGCTTCATGTATGCATTGTGTTTAGCCTTTGTGAAAAAAGTCATGATATTAACAATTGAAAATGTTTGAAAGTGGTTTCTGCTTCATCTTTGCTCAAAAAACTCTCCCATTTTGCAAAAAAGAAGCAATGTGCGGACACTGTACGTTGTTCGAAGACGAATCAGAATGTGTCCCGTCATTTTTTTGTTGTGTACCGGTATTGTGTACCGGGTGACATGGCGCATTCTAATTTGCCTCCGAAGGATCCGGTGCCCGCACAAAATATTTTGATATAAATGACTCATTGATACAATCAAATCAAGATGGTCTTAGAAAATGAATAATATATACTATTGTAAACATGTATTGATATATGTTACTATAAAGTGATGCCCTTTGGTCATAAGAATATCAGTAATCTTTTGACCATCAATGATCATATATACAAATAAGTTTGAGTATTATATTGATGATGTTATGTTCGAAGGCTTGTGATGATTTTGCCCCCCTCAATTTTGATTTTCTAGATAAGGATTAAGTGTGGGCTATCTATCTTCTTGTTTAGTGATTTTATTGACTCAAAAAAAGAGAGAATCATAAAACATTAAAGAGTTATAAGTCCCTGAATTTGGGTATGAGTGTTAATATTTGATACGATCCGAAAATTTTGGGTTAGGATTAACATGTTTCTAAAATGGATCATATTCAACAAATCGACCCATTTCAAAAATCGGGTCGGATTCAGATTGACTTAGAAATCCAGACCTGACCTGAAATGACTGCGGCTGCCCACGCCTTCACTTTCGCGCTCTAGTCGCATCGTCGCCCACTATCGATGCCTTGCCGCGCGTCTCTGGTTACCATTGCCGCTTCCTTGTCGCGCGTCACCGACTGTCACTACCACTGCCTTATCACGCGTCGCCTGCTTACGGGATTTGGCTGAATAGGTGTGCGAACGGAGGACTTATGTTGCCGCTATCGATGACTTACTGGTCGGTTTGGGTTGGACCCAAACTCAACCCGTGACCTGAAATTGACACCCCTAAATTTGGGCTTTGTTTGAGATAACTTTCTTACTCTTTTATAAAATTGTTCTAGAGATAGTAATTTTTTAAAATTGTTATTGGAAGCAATTTCTTAGTATAAATTTTTTAAAAAAATAATAATAATATAATAGGTAAAATAAGAATTATAATTATATTTAAAAAAAAAAATCCCAACGAAGAGTTCCCCTCCGCAGAATATATCACTTGTACAAAGAGAAGCCAAGGCAGCCTACTATAGTGGAGTTGAGCTTTCTGCATCTCACCTTCCTTCTCTGATCCGCCACCCAACGGGTACAACTACCACGATGGCTCCTTGCTTCGCCTAATTTACTTATATTTTCCACAAAAATAATTAATTAAATAAAATAAAATAAAATAAACCCCTGCAGGTGTCCAGACGCAAGGCATAAACGTAATTAGTGCCGTTTTATTCAATAAACTTCTTTGTGTCAACATCTAAAGTGAATTATTAGTTGAGGTGAGCATTTTTTTTTAATCAGATTAATCATCTTTATTAAATTCAAATTAAAATAAATATTAATTCTTTACTTTTTGCTCTGAGATTAATGCTGTAAATTTTAATTAACATTTATATTTATCCAAATCAAATAATTTATGCTCCATTTGTGATAGCTTTTTAAATTCTTTGTTTTTCAAATCATAATTGGTCATAATTTTTTTGTTGCTTCAATATTTTTTACTCTTAGAAAGGTTTTTTTTCCTTTTCTTTTTTTTTTTAAACTCTTAGAAACAGGATATGAAACGAGCATATTCATGAAAAGGTTGAAGTAGATCCTGTGACAAATAAGATTAGAGAGAGAGAGAGGGCTCAGACGGTTTGGTCATGTAAAACGATGGCCTTCTGATGTCCCTATTAAGAGAGTAGACGTATTAGATTTGACTTATATTAAAAAAAAATAGAAATAATCCTAAAAAGATTTGATTAGAAAATATAAGAAATTACTTTTCTTTATTAAATTTAAATGAAAGTTTGACTCTTAATAGAATATAATGGAGAAAAATGATTCATGTAGCTGATCTCATGTAGTGAGATAAAAGCTTGATGTTGTTGTTTTAAAAAAAAAAATTGTACTAAAGGCCTACATTCTACTACAGTTTTTAAAAAATTATTTTCTCTGCAACAACTTTAAAAATTAATAAAAAAAATTATTCAAAATAAAACCTTAATATCATCATGATTAAATTTGAATCAAAACACTCTAATAAAACTGTTTTCTTTTCCCCTCCAACAAAAATTACCTAACCAAAAACAGAAATTAATCAATTTATTAAACCATCATCACCAACTATAGAATTCCTTCAAGATTAAGCAGCAGCAACAAAACTTACTATACTTAAATTCTTTCAGCTGCTCTGTCCACATCACTTACTCCTTTTAACACCAGAGCTAGTGACCACACAAAGCCTCCCTTATATCGCATTCTCTTCCCCCCCTTCATCTCCCAACAATCTCCATGGCGTCTCTTCTGCTTCTGGTTCTCATCTTCATCTTCAACCTCATAGCCTTCGCTCTCGCCATGGCCGCGGAGCAAAGGCGGAGCACGGTGAGCTTAATGTGCTCAATCTGTTCCACTGCAATATATTTTTTCCTGAGATTTGTGTATATATGTGCGTGGAAATGCAGGCTAGAGTGGTGCCAGATGCAGAGAACAATTACACATATTGCGTTTATGATTCGGACATCGCCACCGGCTATGGCGTCGGTGCGCTGCTCTTCTTAATGGTTAGTCAGGCCGTCGTTGCTGTCGCCACCAAGTGCTTATGTTGTGGCCGTGCACTGCACCCCGGCGGCCCTCGATTCTGCGCGCTTATCCTGTTCCTCTCCTCTTGGTGATTTTTTCTTACCATTTTCCTAGTAATGTAAAATGGCACAGCAGGAGTATTTAGGCTTCGTTTGCGGCAATTTTTTTACTATTTTGCTTTTGAGATCTCAATCATAATTTATATTTGAGCAGTATTTCTCGTTGATTTCAAAAAATTTATTTGCAAGAAAACTGCTTTCTCCAGCAACTTCTAAATTTTTGAAAAACAAAAATTATTTTCTCTACAATAACTTTACAAGCTGCCTCAAACAGACTCTTAGTTTTGTGAAAAAGTTATTTGAGGGAAAAATTTTACATTACACTCACTTTCAAATAAATTAAGAGTTTGTTTGAGGTGTTTTTTTTGTTGCTTTGTTTTTCAAGCAGCAATCACAATTTAGGATCTGTGTAAGTCAGCTTTCTGGCTGCTTTGTTTTTCAAACAGCAATCATAATTTTGTTTGATTATTATTTTCTCGCTAATTTCTCACTGTTTTTAAACAATTTCTATGATGAAAAATCATTTTTTGCAATCAAAGAAGCGAATTTCCTTCATCAACATCATCAACTTCACAATCAACTTTATAAAATACTAAAGAACACCCCAAATAGACGTTTAGGGTTCGTTTGAGACGGCTTTTTTGCAACTTCTTAAGGCTTTGTTTGTTTGAGCGTTTTTTTACCTTCTCCGTTTTCGGAAACGGATGATTTTTTTTGTGTTGTTTGGTTCGTCAAATCACGTTCCCAATAACTCCTTTTTTTCATTTTTCTGCAGTTTTGAGAAAGCTTTTTATATGTGCTTCTCCGTTAGAAAACTCCATTTTCTGAACTAATGTTTTTTAAAACTATCTTTTACAAAAGCAAAAAAATGCTGCTTCTTAAATCAGCTTTTTAATACGAAAATTAAAACTTTTGTATTGAAAAGTTCCTTTTTTTATGAAGTAGTAAGAAAGTTATCGGCAATCGAAGCCTTAGTTTGGCGAAAATTACTGTGATGAAAAGATGATTTTTAGACTAAAATAGCTGAGTTACTTTCTCCTCCCTAAATTTGCAACAAACTATACGAAACTCTTTAGTCGCCCTAACAGATGAATTAAGTTCAGTTCATTTCGAAATCATGATCTGTTTGCAACTGCGAGTATTTGACTGATTTGTGTGTGAAATAAAGGGTGACGTTCGTCATAGCGGAGTCTTGCTTGCTGGCGGGATCGGTGGAGAACGCATACCACACCAAGTACAGAACGCTGTTCGTGGACAATCCGCCGTCTTGCCAAACGCTGCGAAAGGGCGTTTTCGGCGCCGGCGCTGCCTTCGTCTTCTTCACATCACTTCTATCGGAGATATACTACATCTCCTTCTGCAAGGCTCGCGACGTCACCATCGCCAAGGAGCCCTCCATTGGCATGAGCTCATACCCATAGCCAGTGATCTGTTCTCAGTTTCTGTTCTTGAAGGGATTTAGTATTTTCAGTTTTATTGTGTGATTGAGGTATTGAATTGATTGCTTGCTGGTTCCAATGCTATATTGGTTGTTGACTGAGAAATTTAGCTATAGATCTTTAATGAAGGCAAGAGAGGAGTGCTTGAAAAGTTTTAATTTTAGTAGAAAGAGATGTAATTATTAATTTAGTAAGATGAATGGATCTGTAAGTTTTTCAAATAAATTAAGTTATGCATATTGCATGAGTTTTTATGTGCACGCTTAAGACCAGAGTTACTTGGGAGCTCAAAATCACTTAATAATTAAAGGAGAAATTATTCTGTGCGGATGTCAAGCGTCATCTTGTTTTGTGTTCAGAGACCAATCAGAATGCGTCATGTCAGGCTTCGCTCGATACTACTGACGTTGCGCATTCTTGCTGGTCTTTAGACACTATTCTGCATCCAGTCTCCACACTTATTGAGGCCTTTTGCTTGCCTTAGAAATAAATACATAGTAAAATAGAAAGTATAAAAGAATTAGAACAAATTTTGAAAATGAGCAAGATAATAAATAAAATTAGGTGAAGGAGTTGAGTCAGATATTATTTTGATTATGAACAAAGTAATTTCAATATGAAGCTTTAAGAAACCGTAACTAATTAACCGTTTATGGAGACCTGGAAAACATTTTCCCGATTTTTTGAAATCGTGAAAGACTTTCACGGTTTCACTTGTCTTATGGTTCAGCTCCATTTCAAATTCTCTCTCATACATTTTTATAGCTAATATTTTCAGTTCTTATCCTTTCAATTGATGAGTTCAACCATCAAGTCTATGATTTCATCTAGTGATTATACACGAAGCATTCTAATATTTTTTTTTTAATTTTAGGTGACTTTTCCGTAGCACTAAAAAAAACTAGCTTCAACTTGTAAATATGAGATCAATGAGAAATTTTTGTCAAAGTTCACTTCCATGGCAAAGTTCCTAAAGAGATAATGGCATCATAGTTCTTTCTACCATATTGTCCAAACATTTGACACAACAAGAATCTATAATTTCTATTACGAGCATCTATATATCTTAAGAATTATAGGATTTAATCGCAATAATCAGATCATTAATAGAAATTTGAATAGATTTCCTCAGAAATTTTTTGGTGTTGATTAATTACATAGTGCTTTTTACTAATGTTGACATTAACAAGTATGAATATCTTTTATATATATGAAAACTTTCGAATATCATCCCTTATAAAATAATTTGTTTTCCTCCTTACTTTCAGGCATTCAAGCGACTCTAATGACGAGTATGCTTATTTTTGCATCTATACAAAAACATAGATAGATCTTTCGTTTATTTTAAAAAAATTTTATTTTCCCGCTGCCCCCGCCCGCTGCCCGCCAGCCCCGCGTGCCCCTTGCTGTAGCCCGCATATTGAATTTCAGCCCTTAAATTTATGATGTTTTTTATATTAAATCCTAACATTTAAATATATGATTATTGTTAATACTTAATAGTGCGAAATTCATATTTCGTTATCTAGAGATTTGAGATTTGTTTTATATGAAAGTTGATTGATAGTCGTCATTTTATGAGTGATTTAATACAGCTTTCATAAGAGAGCTTAATGCATATATGATCTTCATTTAACTTATGTCTTTGATATGTTGATGTATAATTTAGATAATATCAATAACTATAGATAATAAATAAATATTTTTATTATAGAGTTTCAATTAATGCAATTTCTATTTATAGATATTTAATATAAATGATATATATTTAGTTATGTCAGATTAGCTTCTTAGAATTGAATTATAGGATTTAATCTCAATAATCAGATCATTAATAGAAATTTGAATTGATTTCCACATAATTTTTTTGTGGTAGATTAATTATCATTTTTTTCACTAAAAAAATGTAGTGCATTTTACTAATTTTGACATTACCAGGTATGAATATCTTTTATATATATGAAAACATTCGAATATCATCCCTTATATTTTTTATATTGTAATTAGATTTTAGCTTGTCTTATACTTTGTAGTAATTTGTTTTAATGGATAATTAAGAGCTCTAACTGATATATCATCAAAAATTATCTTGATCGGGCACGAATCTCGAGGCAAAACCAAGTTGAAAACTTAAAAAATTAAATTCGGGATCACGTGAACTTCGATTTCAGCAAACTTATAGTCAAACTGAACGTCTTAGAAATACGAACCCAACGACACCAAATTCAACTCAATCCGAGCCCAAATGAGTCCAAATCAAGGATCTGAAGCGCTGTTGGAAAGTTCGTACCACAATTTGAGTTACCAAACGGTCTCCGAACTTAAAGAGCTCATATTCGAATCAAGCGGCTCGACGAGACAAATCCAACAAGCCCAAGATCGCCAAATTCCGAAGTCATTAAGATCTTCAAATGCCATATAAACGGACCCAAGCAAGAAGAAGAGAAGAAGAAGAGAAGAGAGAAGAGAATGATAGGAGGGAATAACTCCTCCTCGACCACCGCCGGAATTCTGCCCAACGCGGGAGTGACGCCGAAATTCTTACCAAGTGACGCTGGAATTCTACCCGACGCCGGAATTCTACTAGACTTTGAATCGACGTCAAAATTATGCTCAATTTCGGAACGACGCCGGAACTCTACTCAACGTTGTAACTGACTTTCAATCCTAAAGAGATTCATTGTAATCTGATCGTCCTAAATTTTAAGGACGAGTCAGTCTCTTGTATTTCAAATGAACACTAGTGGAACTATTTCAAATTTCAATTGGGCGTTGCCCCTTGGTTTTTTTCCTTTCAGGATTTTCCACGTAAAAATTCTGGTGTTGCTGAATAATATTGAGAAGCAAAATAGAAAATTTTCAAATTTAAATCTAACTCTGCAGATCAATGAAGAACTTCATAAATAGCAGCAGGCTTATTAACCTTTTATCTATACTTTAAATAGTGAGTCCAAATTTCCCTTCCAAATATATTTATTTTATTTTATGTTTTAATATTGCTTAATATCTCATGTAACTCGAAGACACTCGCTTAAGTTAATGTGTACAATAGGTTTTGATATGTTTATATTTTATCTTGAAATGGTCTAATTTTTAAGAATAAATATGATGTTAAATATGTTTGTGCTGGCCTTTATTAATTGAGTATATGATTATAGTGTGCATTTATCAACGAAGTGTGACATTTATTATTAAAATTAATTTTTTCTATCTTCTAATTTTTTTAAAAAAATCTATGAACATGCACACAACATATTAATTTAATTTTTAAGACCAAATTAACATAAATGATTATGAACCGATATTGACATAAATAATTATCATTATTATATTAACGTAAATGATTATTATTTTTATTTTTATTGATAAACTTATTAATTCATATAAGTAAATAAATATAATTTTATATTTTTTTAATATCTATTTTTATTTTTTTAAATTTTATTCTTGTGCACTTTATGCATTTGCAATTTTACTAAAGATCCCAAATTCTATTTAACATACTCAAAACCACAACCCCTATGAATTAAGGTGAAAATTAAAATTGGTGTAGTCATAGTGTTTTTGGTTGTCTAACATATAGTGGTAGAGTAGTAGACTCATCTTTTATAGTCATGGTATTTTCTTGTTATTAGGATGAGCTCATTTCAATTTTTCCTCAGGAGTGTCAATAAATGATCCGGTTTGTCAATCTAGCCTAAACTTGACACAAAAAATCTAAGTTTAGGATGAGCTCATTTCTAAGTTTCGATAAATGAGTTGAGTTCGAGTTGGATTTTATGATCTATTTATTAAATGGGTCAGCCTAGGGTTAACCCATAAACATTTTTTACCCAAAAAATGACCCATTTCGTATCTTTTTTTTATACTTTTGGTTATAATCTTCTTATTTTTTTATGAAACATCCTAAACTTTATAGCTAATAAGTTATGCAAAAAAAATTTTAGGGGTTTTACATACATACCATAATATACTATTCTATTTACATATCTAACATCCAAAATTTTAATATTACATACGTACTACCCATAATTTATTTTCATATTAAATGTGAGCGATAGAAATAAAATATATGAGTGGTAAGAATAAAATATGAGTGATATATTTGATATTAAAATAATATAGGATGGTATGCATGCAATATTAATAATTTTGAGTGATAGATATGTAAATAAGATGTTATAGAGTGGTATGTATGTAAATCCCCTAAAAATGTAACTAAACGGGTTAATATATTAAGTTCGAGTTGGTGCTTTTAACAAATTTATTAAACTGGTCGGGTTCAGGTTGATTTGATTTAGATCTTATCAATTTCAAGGCGAACTCGAATCCGCCCCATCAACCTATTTTGATACCCTAATTTTCATTCATCTAAGTATTAGGTTGACATTATATTTGATTAATTAGAACGGGGAGAGAGAGAGACCAACATTTAATGTGTACAATTCAGGCCCAGTAACTAGGCAAATTATTACGTCCGGTGTCCGGATGAATCCGGACACCAATCCAGACACGCCACATCACCCAAATACACCGGGACCTAGTGTATTCGGGTGACATGAAGAGCCTGAATTGGGTGTCCCGATGTAATAATTCGCCCCGTAACTATGGAACTTTTATTCTGTCCGGTGAACGTACGCTCCTCTACATTCGGCCACTAATGTTTTAGCGCCACGTAACATGAAGAAAAGTCGCTGACCCGACCCGCTATTTTTTGGGTTCTCGCGCGTGCGTTTTTTTAAAATCCTTGACGAGCCGAACAACATCTCATCACCATTTGGATATATTTCAAATACCTAGCAATACCGAGCAAATACCAATTTGTACCTAGTTTTTTCTAGCAATACCGAGCAAATACCTAGCAATACCGAGCAAATCCTGAGCAATACCGAGCAAATCCTGAGCAATAACGAGCAAATACTGAGTTGTACCGAGTTGTACCGAGTTTTTTCTAGCAACACCGAGCAAATACCTAGCACCGAGCAAATCCCTAGCAATACCGAGCAAATCCTGAGCAAATACTGAGTTGTATCGAGTTGTACCGAGTTGTAAAAAACTCGGTACAACTCGGTATTTGCATGGTATTGGTCTTCACAGGGCGGTATTTCTCATTTTTGCAAAGCAATACCTAGCAAATACCGAGCAAATACCGAGAAAATCGCGAACATAGCATTCCCGGGTTCCGCTCCAGGTCAAGTTGTCGGGCCGCACGGTTTAGAATAAAAACACATGACGACATGTTATTGACGGCCGATACGTCCGGTCAGAAGACGTAATAATTGTTCGTAACTATGACTACATGAACATTTTATAAGCAAGAAAACATGGGAAGACCAGAGCAGAACTTCCTCTTTATTCATATAATGCATTTAGCGGTAAATAAAGCCGCACAGAACAGTTTCAAAAGGCTGCGAGAGTCACTCCGGAAGCATAGTCTCCGCCACAGCACCAATGTTCAAATCCTCGGCGCCGCCATCCCAAAAATCCCAATAGCTCGCCGGAAACACCGTCTCCTTCTTAACCCAAATACTAGCCGCCGAGGCGTCCATCATTCCCAAAAAACCATCGCCGCATCCGCCGCTGACGTCTTGGACTCCGCTCAAATTCTGATGGGAGGTAGATGCCGCCCCCATAAACGGAATTTCCCCTGCTGACAAGGCCAAGCCGGAGCTCACGCCACTAAAATCTTCCATAAATGTTAAAAAAGTTTTCGGCAGCGAAGCACCAAATAACCCTTCCAAGGTGTCCATGCATGGCGATTCCAGGGGCAGCGGCGGCGGCGGCGGCGGCGGCTGGTGGAGTAGTACCTGACGGAGAATGTCCGGAAAGATGGGATCTTTCATCTCTCCAACGACTGGCGCTATAGGATTCCCGCCGGCTGCAGCGGCTAATGAAGTGGCGGTGGGTGTAATCTTTCGGCGTTTATTCTTGCGACCGCCGCCGACGGGGATGTTGCGAAGAGTACCGCCTTCGGTCCAATGGCGACGGCAAACCCGACAAAAGTGGCGCGGCTGCGAGCGGCTGTAGTTGTTATAGTAGCAGAACTTGGTGTTTGTTGATTCACACCGTGGACACATTAGCAGAGGTGCGTTCTGCTTTTCTTCTCTCCCCTCCGATTTTAGAAATTCCAATCCACCCTTAATAGAAACTTATCGGATCAGTAAGATTGGAATTAAAGAAAATCAATATGACAAAAAAAAAAAAAAACTTTTATCACATTTAGAACTAACTACCTGAGGCCAGTGATGGATATCAACGGAAACTTGGTTCGAGCTAAGCCCCATTTCAATTTTTGCTCTAATTCAGCGATTAGTGAATACAAGGCGAAGGAAACGGGAGAATAAGAGGAGAGTGAAGAACGTAGAGGTTCCTACTGCTTCACTGAACAAGTTGTCAGGGATGGGTTTCAAGAGAGACGAAGAGAACATATCGGACTGGGAAGCGAACTTTGAACGGTTTAGGAAAGCTGCAACCTTTTTGATTTCTACTGCGAAATTAGCCTGACTAATTGGCTTATCGGCGGTTGATGGATTGACTAGACAAAAGAATTATCCTCCTATGCTTTCCTGAGCTCGGTTTTATATATTTATAAGAAGAAAACATGAAGAGAGAGCGTTTTCTTAAGGGCTAAGTTAAGGTGAGACCGTGAGAGGGAGGAGACGAAGAGGAAGAAGGTAGATAGTAACATGTGAGTTATGCCGGAAGAAGACACCGAGAAAGAAGCTACGAGAGGAAGAGAGAGAGTTAGTGCGCGACAGGATGAGCGAGAAAGAGAGGTAGGTCGGTGGCTTTAGTGTGTTCTGTGGGGCCGCGACAATGGCGGAATGGAATGGCGGGTTTGTCATCACTTTGTTAAATATAAATATATGATTAAAAAAATTTAAAATAAATAAGAATGTTAGAAAATGAAGTTCGATTGGAGTCAAGTTACTGCATTTTGGAGTTTTACTGCATTTTGGAGTGGAAAATAAGTTTTTCGGTTGGAGATGCCCTTAGGAAGGACGACATCCGCTGACTAACTTTTTTTTTTTTTTTTGGAAAATCGCTGCCGAACTCCTGTTTGGTGTTGATTTGAGAAGTTGGAATTGTCCCGTTTGATGGAATCGTAATTATTAAGTTAAAATTTTAATTTATTATGATAAGTGGATTTATTTGTAATTATGCTATGAAATAATTATGATATATATACAAGAGGGTTAGAAACTGAGGAAACAAGCGAGAAGGACAACTATATAGTAAAAAAAAAGAGGGAAATTTACATACATATCACTATATTTATAACCATTTTACATATCTAATACCTAAAAATTTAATATTATTATTATACCACCTAAAACTCATTTTATATATCACTTCTACCACTTCGTTACTTCCCCACCTCACGCCGTATTTCTCCCCTCTTTTGACCGCGAATGTGAAAGAGCGGTGCGAGCAGCGAGTGGTCAAGGATTTCGGAGATATCTTGAATCACCGTCATACCACTTCGATATATTGAATATTGTCTCTTAGTTATAGTTTCCCAATCAATGTTGTCAAATAACAATCACATGATTATTATCTTCTACTAGCTTCATCGCCAACAACGATGATGTAAGCCACTTACTCCAATGCCAATCCTCATTGATTTTTCTCGCACCATCGCTGATAATCTTGATGACATTCATCATCAATAAAGTTGATGCATATTTTGTCTACGCATATCATCGCCTATAAAGCTAATGCACACCGTTGACACATGTCATTACCTATAAATTTGATGCACGTTGTTGATACCAAGGCTAACACATGTAGACTTTCGTCGTAGATCATCACTTATAGCTCGATGCATTGTATCACCAATAAAGTCAACATATAATATCGACACCAACTCTGCTTCCCATCATCAACCCTAAAACTATACTAAACTTCTTAATTTTGGTCTCCTCTTTTAAAAGATAATTATTAAACACATCATAATTGATATATTGAGAAACAATTAGAATATCTCAAGCTTTTGACAACTTTTATCATGCATTTCATCTCACACAGTTAATGTCTAACGCATTATAAATGTATTCATCAATTATGAGGAAGAATATCATTTGCACTAATCAAGCGACATATGCTAGTAAAATTATTTTAATGGAGAAAACTCCTATTATTTTTTCTTTCTAAATTTTTCATAGAGTGCAAAAGAAATGAGAACAGTAAAGGAATTGAAAATAAATTTTATTTGCTCGAAAAAAATATATGAAAATATCTTTTATTAGTTGATGACGAATTGAGATATATATAAGATTTGTGTATTGATATAAAAAAAAACTATTTAACATTTTCTAGCTAAATTAAATTATCTATTAATTTCATTCAAATAATGCATATTATTTTAATATAAAATTATGATTTAAAAGCATTTATATTTCCTTAAACTCTGACAACATCGCTAGTCCGATCAAGGTTTTTTTTTTTTTTTTGGAAAAAAAAATTTGGAAAATGATCAAGGTTTTTTTTACTTGGGCCTTTGGGCCATGGTACTAATTAATTTTTATGTTATGGGCTTTTGTAGATTTGCCAGAACATTAATAGAAAGCCCTATGCCATTCGAATTATTATGGAATTAACATTTGAAAATAGGGGATTTACATACATATCATTTTATTTCATGCTATTTATATATCTAACACCTAAAACTTTAATATTACATTTCTACCACTCATATAAAATTTTAATATCAAATATATTACTCATATATTTCATTCTTACCACCCATACCATCGTATAAATTTTAATATTTCATTTCATGCACCCATATTAATTCTATTAGTGGTAGGCATATAATATTAAAGTTTTAGGTATTAGATATGTAAATAGCATGAAATAAAGTGGTACTTATGTAAATCCCCCTTGAAAATATGGTTGCAAATGAATGAGCCTCTTCTTATTTATAATAATTGAAGATGAAACCATCCATCCAAAATTTCATATCAAAATATTTAGAATATTTAGTGAGAAGCGTATCTTAGGCTTCATTTGGGACGGCTTTCTTATTGCATTCTAAAAAAGTTTTTTTATGCAAAATTTTTTAGTTCAAAATTCTTTTTTATTAAAAAGCCTTTTTAGAAAGCAGTGAGAAAGCTCTCAAGCGAAGTCTTAGGCTTCATTTGGGACGGCTTTCTTCCTGCTTCTTAAAGCAGCTTTCTAGTTCAAAAATTAAAATTTTTGAACTAGAAAGCCGCTTTAAGAAGAAGGAAGAAAGCCGTCCCAAAATTTTTGAACTAGAAAGCTGCTTTAAGAAGCAGGAAGAAAGTCTGTCTCAAACGAAGCCTTAATCTATTTAAAAACAAAGTTGGGATTTCAGCTTTCCAATCTAAAAATGATTTCTTGAGAGAGAGTTTTTTTTTTTTTTTAATTGTTAGATTGAAGATAATGATCATATTTATATTTGAGTGCATTTATATTATTTTAACTCATCATAAAAATAAAATTAAATATTTGATCTCTACACATCCCCACGTAGTGGGATAAAGGCTTGATGTTGTTGTTGTTGTTGTTGTATTTGATCTCTACACATAATAAATTTTATATGAAAAGTTAATGAGATGTTTCAAAAGTCAAATAATAAATAATCTTTAATATGATCATAATTTTATAGGTTTAAAAACAAGGTAACACATAATGTATAATTTAATATTTATATGAGCTCATAATAGAAATTTTCCAACCGTTCAAGTTCAAGCTCATTTGATAAAAATTGTTTTAAATTAGTTTATTTTGTGTTGAAAGAGTTTTAAAACTTTTAAAACGAGCCTCGAAATACCTAAAAAGATGGAGCTCCAAAACAATGAGAGAGAGAGAGAGAGAAGGGAGGTGATAGTACTCCAAGCATATTTGAAAGTAAATCTTAAGAATTTAAGTAAAATTTAGACTTCATTTGGGATGGCTTTCTAACTACAACTTCTTAAAGCAGTTTTTTTAGTATAAAAATTAAAGTTGCTTTTCCAAGCAGTGGAAAAATGTCTCAAATGAATTTAATTTTGATACTAAAAAGATGTTTTAAGAATTAATAAGAAAGTCATTCCAGATAAAACCTAAGTCTTAATAAGATGAATCGACTAAAGATAAGTACCAAACAATTAGCGTGATCAATCAAATTCATTAGCTGCAGATACCTTAGATTTTTCTCTGCAGTCTGCACTTTGCAGGTAAAATAACTTGTTCAGACTCGTTTATTTTGGTCTTCTAATGCGAAGCAACACATAATTAACCCTAACTACGTACGCTTGTGGCTATATAATTATCACATCAACATCAAAAAGTTGCTTTAACAAATAGTGAAAAACTGTCTCAAATGAATTTAATTTTTGTACTAAAAACTGCTTTAAGAAGTAATAAGAAAGTCATCCCAAATAAAACTTAATCATAACAAGAGGAATCGACTAAAGATAAGTACCAAACAATTAGCGTGATCAATCAAATTCATTAGCTGCAGATACCTTAGATTTTTCTCTGCAGTCTGCACTTTGCAGGTAAAATAACTTGTTCAGACTCGTTTAGTTTTGGTCTTCTAATGCGAAGCAACATATAATTAACCCTAACTACGTACGCTTGTGGCTATGTACTTATCACATCAAAATCAATATCAACGAAGTAACAGATCCACAACTCTGCCCACCGTACTCGGGCCGGCAAGTTCTATCTAATTTAGATTGCGTTCGCCACTCCCCAATCATTAGCAGCTTCGTCAGGCTTTCAACAAAGTCCGAAGCTTTTCTTTCTCTATATATTATCAAGTCTTTATGAGCAGCTTAAAATTACAAAAGATGCATACTTTAAAGCTAAAAATGACGACTTTGTTGTCTTTCGTACTCATCACCGCCACCCTTCTCGCCACCTCCAGCGCCGGAAACATAGCCATCTATTGGGGTGCGATAAACAACGAAGGATCCCTCTCTGACACTTGCGCCACGGGAAACTACGCTTTCGTCATCATATCGTTCCTGCGCAACTTCGGCAATGGTCAGACTCCCGTTCTCAACCTCGCCGATCACTGTGATCCCGCCTCCGGTGGTTGCACCAGCCTAACCGATGACATCAACTACTGCCAGTCTCGGGGCATTAAGGTCCTCCTCTCCATCGGCGGAGGGACTGGATCCTACATCCTCACATCCGACGACGATGCACGTCAGGTGGCCGACTATATCTGGAACAACTACTTAGGCGGCCAGTCCTCGTCAAGGCCCCTCGGCGACGCCTTGCTCGACGGAGTAGACTTCGACATTGAGGGAGGCAGCCCTGACCACTACGATGACCTCGCTTACTACCTCTCCGCCTACAGCAACCAGGGGAAGAAGGTATACCTCACCGCGGCGCCACAATGCCCTTATCCGGATGCTTGGGTCGGCAAAGCACTGGACACCGGTCTCTTCGACTATGTTTGGGTTCAGTTCTACAACAACCCGCCTTGCCAGTTCTCGGAAGGACGGCCGAGCAACCTGCAGGAAGCCTGGAACCAATGGACTACAGCGATTCAGGCAAAGCAGTTCTTTCTTGGCCTGCCGGCGGCGCCCGATGCGGCCGACGGCGGATTTATTTCAACAAATGACTTGACGGCTCAGGTGCTTCCAGCATTGAAGCGATCGAGGAACTATGGAGGGGTGATGTTGTGGTCGAGATACTATGATGTGGAGACCGGCTATAGCCAAGCCATTGTATCCTCTGTTTGAGGAGACTGTGATGTTATGAAGCTGTAAAAATTGTTGATTGATGTGTTTGACGAAATGCCAGGGCGGTAGCCTGTGATTGAAGCCGCGACGAGTGATGTATTGGATAGGGTGTTGATGTTAGTTGTTTTGATGTTTTTGCTGTTCTGTTCATATATGATGATGAATTGGTTTGCTTTTGTTTTAATTTTTCTCTGTATATTCTGTTATGCTTCATCGCACTCAATGACTCAATATAGATAGGCTGATTTATTGAATGTGAACCAGCTGCTACTTTCTAAGTAGTTCGATTATATCTATAGGATCTCTTTTTTGCGACTATGCCAATATTATGGTGATAATTGTGGTCATTAAGATGTAAGTAAAAGTGAAAAGATTTTGCATATATGTCGGGGGTTCAAGGGAGTAACGCTCCTTAGCGGGGTTCGACCTGCAGGGGTTGAGGTCGCAGGGTCAAGGGAGCGCCACTGCTGGGGTTTCCAGGGGCAGCACCCCCAGAACAAATTTTGGTTATAAGGATATTTCTGGATTCCTTTTACCATTTCTCTTTGTATTTGATATATTGTTCATTAACAATAACGCATATGCATAATGTGTTCAATTATACTTGATACGTCATGCAAAAATTATCTTGATTGAGCACGAATCTCGATGCAAAATCAAGTTGGAAACTTCAAAAATTAATTCGGAGGCCATCTCAACTCTGATTTCAACAAACTTATAGTTGAACTGAGCGTCTCGGAAATACGAATCCAACGACACCAAATTCAACTCAATCCGACCCCAAATGAGTCCAAATTAAGGACCCGAAGCGCTGTTGGGAGCTTCATAACACTGTTTGAGTTACCAAACGGTCTCCGATTTTTACGAGCTTATACTCGAATCGGAGTCTCGACCAGACGAATCCAATGAGCCCAAGATCGCCGAATTCCGACATCTCTAAGACCTTAAAATGTCAACCGAACGGTGCACGATCATAGGATTCGATATTGCTGTCCATTCAACCACTCCCTATTCGCCCCTGATCTCATGCCTATTTACGAGCTATGACACTCCATAAAATCTATAAATAGAGCCCTCATTCTTCACAAGGAAGGGGGGGGGGTCCAAGCAAGAAGAGAAGATGAGAAGAGAAGGAAGAAGCTCCTCCTCAACCACCGTCGAACCACCGCTAGAGCCTCGTCGGACCACCGCCGAACCACCGCCGAAGCCTCGCCGGACCACCGTCAGAGCCTCGCTGGACCACCGCCGGAGTTTTGCCGCACCACCATCTCAATGCCCGATGTTCAGACCCGACATTCAGGCCCGACGTTCTGCTAAAGGCCCGACATTCTGCTAAGGCCTAACGTTCTGCTCAAGGCCCAACGTTCTGCTAAAGGCCCAACGTTCTGCTCAAGGCCCGACGTTCAGACCTGACGTCTTCATCTGAGGCCCTCACATTCTCCAGAGGCCCTCACCTTCGCCAGAGGCCCTCACTTTTACCAGCAGACTTCACCTTCGCCAGAGGCCCTCACCTTTGCTAGAGGACCTTGTCTTCGCTAGATCATCATCAAAGGTAGTGTGCTCCACCAGAACATCACATGAGGCCCAGACTTCTGCCGGACCACTACTTGAGGACTTGAGCTCCACCAGGCCACCACCTGATGCCCACAGTTCTCCCAGAATACTACCGACTAAAGTCCTTTCGACCTTTGTCGCCTACTGTGGTCCTTCTGACCTCCATCAACAAACAACGGTCTTTCTGATCCCGGTCTCCTGCCGACTACGGTCCTTTAGACCTCCGTCGCCTACTGTTGTCCTTCCGACCTCAATCACCAGAAAACGGTCTTTCTGACCCTGGTCTCCTGCTGACTACGGTCCTTTCGACCTCCGTCGCCTACTGCGGTCCGCCCGACCTCCATCACCAGACAATGGTCTTTCTGACCCCGGTCTCCTGCCGACTACGATCCTTCCGACCAAACAAACATGTATATATAACGCCTACCATGTAATGCAATCTATATGATATATATTTGCTACATCAATACAAGGCCTTCTCCAAAGGAAGGGCCTCATTTGTAATCGACTGCAAATACTAGTGGATTCATTCAAACTGGGCCAGGCCCCATGGTTTTTTCCCTTTTTCAGGGGTTTTCCACGTAAAACTCTGGTGTCTCTTACGAATGTTTAACCCCCTCTCTTATCCGCTTGTGTGCTGGATCTTCGTACAATGCTAAGACGTTAAACCATATATTTCTCTACCGCCGCAAATATTCCAGGACGCAACAATACTGGGAGAAATTGTCTAAAGATCATAGCATCTTAAAAGTTTTAAGTGATGCAATTGCCTAAGAATCATTGTAATAAAGACTGAAAAACATATGACGGGGACAAATTACCTGAAAAATCATATAATAAAATTTTTTAGGGGGGGCAACTGGCTTTAGGAAGATCCGCCCCTGCCAATGAGGATGAGATTTTGCGAGAAAGGGCACCAATGGACCTAGCAATGGAGAGATCTAGCAAATTTCATAAGTGAGGGCACTAAGGGGTCCATGCAATATATTTGCCTAGGTTGAGTCTTTGTCATTATATCCTCTTCAACAATGAAGAGATTCGGCTTATATCTCTTCTCAACTCCTAGTGACAACAAGCTCACTAATAAAGTTCATAGAGTGTTAAATGATGTAAATAATGAAATTTAGGCATTAAAATCTCCTTCATATTTATGAGTATCCATCTATCATTGTGGTTGATTCCATAGATGTTGGATCCAATCAGGTTGTATTGACACCTTAATCTTTCCAACTAGAATTTAGGACGACAAAATATAAATATTAGATAGAGAAAGAGTGAATATATGAAATTTTGAAAATATGGAGAGAGAAATTCTACAAGTAAAAATTTTATGGTGTCAAATTATTCCTTAATACCATATTGATAGGCTTGGGAGATTAAGGCCTCGTTTGGGAAAATTTTCTTACTGCTTCTTAAAAATTTTATTAGCATTTTGTACTAAAAAGCTATTTTAAGAAGCAACAAAAAAACCGCCTCATACGAAGCCTAAGTGCTACAAAAATTGCTACATTACACAAGATTTAACTAATTCTTACTTTGAGTTATGCATAAAATGCATAGCTAAAAACATAGAAAATATATATCCAATATATTAGGTAAGTCCCTTCTTGCTTTAACCAACTTTGAGGCAAAACTCTTAAACTACTAGCACTAAGAGAAAGCCTAAAGATTAATAGCTAGCCTTGAAATATTTTACGGGCTGCTAGCTTTGTGTGAGTACTTTTATTAGCGATGTAAGAAACTTCAAATTCTCTGAGCCATTAGATAACAAAGCTATCAACATAAGACTATGAGAGTTATAGGCTCCTCCATTAAATGATGTTGAGGCAAACAGATGCATTGGCTGTAAAGTTGGATGGCCAAATGGAAGCCATAATGTAAGCTCAAATGAAAACAATGGAGTCTGAGTACAAAACTTGAATGCCACCATTAGATGTCTAGGGTTTACCCTGAGACCCTCTATTTATAGATATTGGTCATTATTTGCCACTATAGAAAAAGACCTATTTAGACTACACTAAATAAAAAAAAATATAACAAGATTTATAACAATTACTTGTCATGCCGTCTAGTCTAAATAAATATAAAGCACATATAAATTATTACGTGTGGTCATTGGACTGTTCGAAGGTGAGCATGATGCGTCACGTCATTTGGTACACAGCGGTACGCAGTACCAATGTACACGCAGTACCAATGTACATCAAAAAAATAATGTGGTGTACATGTGTATAGGGACCGGGGGGCAAGGGGGCACGTGCCGCCCCTAAAAAAAAGAAAAAGTGCACTATTAACCTTTGAGAAAGAAAGAGAGAGAACGTGCAATTCATACTCAAAATTTTGTGAAATAAAATATCATCAAAAGATTAAAAAAATGTGCATCTATGCCTTTTATCTATGATATGTCATAAAAAATGTATCTTGATTACAAATCTCGAGGCAAAATCAAGTTTGAAACTTCTGAACTAAATCGGAGATCATCCAAACTTCGATTTCAGCAAACTGATAGGCAAACTAAACGTCTCAGAATTACAAATGCAACGACACCAAATTCAACTCAATCTGAGCCCAAATGGATCCAAATCGAAGACCCGGAGCACATTTGAAAAGTTCAAACCATAAATTGGAGGAATAAACTACTTTCAAACTAGCATGCTTATAGTTGAATCAAGTAGCTTGATGAGACAAATCCAATGAGTCAAAGATCACCAAATTTTGATATCATTAAAGTATTCAAATGCGCAATAAATAGTTCACAATCAAGAGAATCAACATCGGCTGTCCATTCAAATAATTTCCAACTTATCCTTGATCTCCTTCCTATTTATCATATCACTACCAAAATTTTTAAATTAACCCCTCATTTCTCATGGAATGAAGCTCAAACAAGGAAGAGAATAAATAGAATGAACAAAGAGAAACAAAAATTCTCTTGCCATCAGACTCCTCGACTAGGATATAAGTGCATCATAATTTATATATGCAAACTTTCATGTTATTCATTTGAAGATATTTGTCAAATAACTTTCCAATAGCAAAGATGATGTTTCTAGTTAGTAAAATGTGGCATTAATCGGATACAAGAAAATCTAAATGAGAACCACGAAAGACTCATGGACAATTATTTTAATGTATTCTAGCATTTCATATAAGATGGTAAACAAAAGTATTTTAATTTAGGATCCCCTGAATAAAATTTTTGGCTCCGTCACTGATGACATGTCTTAATTCGCCTCAAAATAATCTCCGATGACCGCACATAATAATTTCAAAGCCAGTAGCCCCTATGTTTGGGAGCCCGGGTCTATTCCATCTTTAGGCCAAGTATGATTGAATACAACTTTCAAGATTTGTCTCCGCAGTTACCACCGGACAGATTATTAAAATCTCTAATTTTGATCAAGAACAGCGAAAGAGTGCATAGATTCTAACAACGTACGCTGGTCGCCAT